GTAATAGTGGTAGTAGCGGCTGCAGTATCAGCAATAATAGTGGCCGTGGTAGTAGTGGTAGTAATAGCGGTAATGTTAGTAGCAGCAGCAGTAGTAGTTCTGGCAGTGGTAGTAGTAATAGTAGTAGTGGTAGCAGGGACAGTAATAGTGGTGGTATAGTGATAATAGTAGTAGTAGCAGTAGTGGTGGCATTATAATAGTAGCAATTGTAGTGGTAGAATATTGGCAGTGGTGGTAGCATTGGTAATAGCAGTAGCAGTAGTAGTCGTAGCAGTGGCAGTATGATAGTAGCAGTAGTAGTGGTAGTAGTGGTGGTATAATAGCAGCAGTAGCAGTGGTAGTAGTAGTAGTTGTTGTAGTATAACCGTAGCAGTGGTGGTAGTAGTAGTGGTAATATGGTAGTAGTAGTAGTGGTAGTGGCAGTACAGTAGTGGTAGTAATAGTGGCAGTAGCAGCAGCAGTTGTAGTAGTAATAGTGGTAGGATAATAGCAGTAGCAGCAGTAGTAGAAGTGGTAATAGTAGTAGTAGTGGCAGTGGTAGTATAATAGTAGCAGTAGTAGTGGTAGTAATAGTGGCAGTAGCAGCAGTTAATAGTAGCATTGGTAGTATAATTGTAGCAGTAATGGTGGTAGTAATAGTGGTAGTAGCAGCAGTGGTGGTAGTAGTAGTAATAGTAACAGTAGCTGTAATGGTAGTAATTGTAGTAGTAGTGACAGTGGTAGCATAATAGTAGTAGTAGCAGTGGTAGTAATAGCGTCGGTAGAGGCAGCAGTAGGCGTTCAGGATCTGGTTCATAGCATGCAGGGCGTATTCTAGAAGAGCAGAAGGCTGCCTTGCAGCCAGAACCTTGACCTGCAACCACACCTTCCTCAAGAAGGCTGCTGCGTAGGTGGAAACAGCTCTCTCATTCCTGACAGAAACGATCACTTGTTCTGCGTCTGGAATCAAGAGGCTCTCGCCAAGTGGTTTATGGGCTGGACAGTGGGCGTCTGTTTGGACCTGGCTTCCATTTTCCTTCATCACCTCCACCTCTCCTCTCTCCCCCTCTGGTCCTGTGAAGCCTTTTCTCTCCCACTATCCCCTCCCCCTCCCCCTTACCTTGGCCTTCACCACCACCTACCCTCCGCCTACTGCCCTCTCTTGTTATTAGAGTCACTAGCCTGCGCAAATCTTCAAGGGCATTTGCCCGGCTCCTCCTCAGAAAACTTCTTGGAAGCACCAACACTGGTGGAGTACTCTCTGGGCCCCGGTTCAGTTTCACTTTGAGTTTCTGGCGCTCACCTGTTGGTGTAGCCCCAAACCTAAGCAGTCACATTTCATCCAAATCACTTCCATACCACATACCTTCTTCCTTCACTTCCTTTCTTGGTCATGAGGCATTTCCTTTCCTCCCGCTCAGGGTTTTAATTTATAGAAGGGTCTCATTATTCCCATTTTCATGTTTGAAAAAATTCTTTTTAGTGCTATTTGTCTTTCCCCTGCGTTTTCCATTTCCTTCGCTCCCAGTGGCTCCCAATTTCCAGATAGAGGTGAGGGCGGCATTGAAAGAAGAGGACAGAAAATCTGAAAAAAGGGGGAGCAAGAGCCTGGAAAAGGAACTATAGAGGTGTAAGGGTGGGGGTGGTGGGGGGAGGCCCGTGAAATTGAGTGGAAGAGAAAGAAGAAGGAAACTGGGTATTGGGGAAAATGACAAGTAAAGTAAAACCAGATTGGCCTGTGTGAACCTGAGCCATAGGGGGAATTATTCAACTAAGTTATATGGCTGAGAGAGACACCCAGATAATTCTTTTAGTCTATAGCAGGAAGGTGGGTCCCTTTGAGCCAAATGGGAAAGTAATGGAGATGCCAAAAAGCAGGAGTCAGGACGAGGTCAGTTACAGAAAACTGCTGCAAAGGGGTGCAAAAGCCTTGGACTTTGAGGGCACTCAGAATCAGGGATGAGCCAAGGTCAGCTCAAGGTCAACAACCAAGGACTTCCCATCCAGCTTCCATTCTCACTTCTGGGAATAGCACCCCCTGCTTTCCTTTGAGGAATTACCCTTTACTCTCAGTCCACACCTCACTCCAAGGGCAGGCTCAGCTTCAGGCTGGCCAGTCAGAGTCACTGTGATTGGCTCAGCAAAGCCAAGTGACCAACACCGGGCCAGTGAGAATCTGCCCTGGGACTGTTGCTGGCCTTGCTGGGAAAGAGGCTGTTTTGGAGTTGCATGGGGCATTCCAGGTGCCAGCCAAAGACTGCCTTGAAAGCTGGCTTCTCTAAGGGGAGCAGTCTCAAGCCTTCTGTGTTAACTTCTTTTCTGCACAGGCACCCTCTAGATGGAAGGGTCAATCCAGGAAGAGCTTCTGGAGGAGGTGACGTTCTACCTGAGACCTCAAGGGTGAGAAGGAGCCAACCATGCCAGTCAGAGGAAGAACATTCCAGGCAGAGAATAACAAAGGCTTAGAAGGAGCAGAAGTTCAGTTGGATGGTGAGTACAGGGAGGGTGGTTACAGGGTGGAGGGAGGAAGCTGGAGTGAGCACCAAGGGCAAGCACTGGGATTCAGAGCTAAGCACCGTGGGAGCCATGGAAGATTTTAATGGGGTGTGGTTGCAGAGTGACAGCCCCTCAAACATGTCTACATCCTAATCCTTGGTGTCTGTGGGTCTGTGACAGCAAAGGGGACTTTGCAGATGGGGTGAAGTTAAGGATCAGAAATAGGAGAGGCTCCTGGATTGTCCACATGGCCCAATGTGCTCACAAGGGTCCTTATGAGTGAAAGAGGGAGGTGGAAGAGTCAAAGTTGGAGAAGGAGATGTGCTGACGGGAGCAGAGATTGGAGAGATGCAACGTGAGCAGGACTAGACCTGCCATTGCTTCTTTGCAGATGGAGGAGGAGCCACGAGCCAAGGAATGTGGGTGCCTCTAGAAGCTGAACAAGGCAAGACAATGGATTCCCCCTGGAGCCTCCAGAAGGAACCAGCCCTGCCTACACCAGCTCCATGAGACCCATTCTGGACTTCCAACCCATAGAAATTTAAGAGATAATAAATCTGTGATGTTTTAAACCACGAAGTTTGTGGGGGGAGTCCCTGGGTGGTGCAAACAGTTAAGCACCTGGCTGCTAACAAAAAGTTTGGCAGTTCAGATCCACCCAGAGGTTCCTGGGAAGAAAGACCTGGCAATCTACTTCTGAAAGGTCACAGCAATGAAAACCCTATGGAACAGTTCTACTCTGATGCACATAAGATTGCCATGAGTTGGAGCCAACTCAATGGCAACTTTTTTTTTTTTTTAATTCAACTTAGCTGATATTTTGCCTGGGGTTCTTGTATATTTATTATATATTCATAGTGAGATTCACCCACACAGGGACGGGAAAGTGGTAGAGGGTGGGCCACGTCGGCCAGCAGACTGGGCTTGCTTAGCTGGTGCATATGTACACACATGAGCATATGCAAGCATGTGCATATGTGCACGCGGTGTACAAATGTGTGCATGTGTGTACACGTGTGCTTGTGCACCTGTGTGTGCACATATGGGAACATGTGCATGTGTGTGCACTATATGTTCATGTGTGTGCATGTAAGTTGAAGGCAGGGTGTGGGAAGAGAAGGGGCAGCCAAGGCCCGCTCTTTGTTCTCTTGCCCAGGGCCGTACATACTGGGAGTGGGTCTGTTAAGGTGTCTATTCATATCTTCATCCTTGCGAATTCTGAGTAGCTTCACTGCTGCTTTGAAGTGCTACAAAGCCCCATGCCCCACCTGTAGTGGAAATCATAGTAATAATAGGGCTAGTCAAATCCAGCAGAGTACTAAAAGTGCTTTGCTGTGACTAGCTAGGTCCACTCTAGGAATGCAAAGCTGGTTTCATACTAGGACATCTGCCGGCATGGGGACAGTGAAGGTCATGAAGTTTATGATGACATCAACGGGCACTGAAAACACTGGAGAGCTTCCAGCAGCCAGCCATTCCCGGGGAACCATGAAATGCAATAGGGATAGATGAAGAGGGTCTGCCTGACACTTCTGATGATTCCTGGGAGGAAGTAAGAGATGACACATGCCAAGCCCTGGGCAGAGCACCTGGGGCTCTGTGAGGGTCATGGCTTCTGGCCCCCGAGTCTGCCACCACCACCTGATTCCCAAACAGCTGGCTCTCTGCTCCCACACTCTCCCCTCCACCTGGCCTATCCTCCTGGACACCACTGGGGGAGCCCTCCAGACATCAGCCAGGCCATGCTCCTGCTCACACCTGCAGCCACCTTGGGTAAGAACCAACGAGGTTGCTGGCTGCGGGCACCCCGCCCTGCAATCAACCCGTTTCCTTCCTCCTTTCCTTTCAGGCCTCTGCTTAAATTATTCACATCTGGCGAATGGATGCATGAATGCATGCAGGTGATCATCATCATCATTTCAAAAATGATTAGCACTCTCCCTGTCTCCCTGTTGGCAGTTGCATGTTCTCACCTCCTATTCCTCCCAAAAGACATGTTGAAGTCCTAACCCTGGTACCTGTGAATGTGACCTTATTTGGAAATAGGGTCTTTGCAGATGTTACTGGTTAACATAAGGTCATCCTGGAATTAGGGTGGGCCCTGATCCAATATGACTGGTGCCCTTATAAAAGAGAAGAGACACAGAGATGCAGAGGGAAGATGCCACGTGAAGACGGAGGCAGAGATTGGAGTGATGTGGCCACAAGCCAAGGAACACCTGGGGCCACGAGAAGCTGGAAGAGACAAGGAAGTATCCTCCCCTAGAGCATCCAGAGAAAGCATAACCCTACTGACACCTTGATTTCAGACTTGTGGCCTTGATTCCAGAACTGTGAGAGGATAAATTTCTGTTGTTTTAAGCCCCCCAGTTTGTGGTACTGTGTTTTATAGCAGCCCCAGGAGACTAATATAGCACCCAAACAGTGCAAGTAAAGCCGTGCCCCCCTTCTCACCTCGAGTTCATGACTGCACTCCCAGGATACAACAGGAGAAAGGAAAGGCCCGCACCCCGAGTCAGGCTCACCTGAGCCCTCAGTGGAGTCATCAAATTCCACCTGGAAGAGGTAGCCAGTGTTCCAGACATAGAGGCAGGCTGCTGCATCGTAGGATACTCTGAGAGGCTGCAGTTGAGGGTCGTAGACGCTGTCCCTCCATTTGATGTCAATGGGAGACTGCCGGGTGCCCCCTGGCACAGAGGGGGGACCCTTCCAGAGGTGGTGCACTGAGGGCAAAGAGAAGCAGACCTGACTGATGCATTGAGAGCTACCCCGGGTCTCGGATGGAGACGCAGAAACCGTGGCGAAACGAGACGCCAGAGAGCCAGCACGCAGAATACAACCCTTGGATGTGTATTCTTCCAGGCGCTCGCCTCTGGCCACCAGACCCCCTAGCCACTAAGCCCACCATGTGAGATGTCCTGGCTTTCTCCTTTCTGGACCTTTCCTGAGACACGGGCTTGTCATCTACCCTGCACAGGGCTGGGTTGTCTTTGCCATCTCTGTTGTTCTTGTCACTGAGTGTGGCCTCGGGGACTCCATGTCACTGTTGACTCCAGCACAGGCCCAGGGACGGGGGCAGGCTGATGAAATGGGCGCTTCAGGGCAGGGCGGGGAGGATAGCTAGCCAGGGGCTGGGTGGCCCGGGGCTGGTGGCAAGGCAAGGGTGAGGGAATGTCAGAGGGGAGGAAGGGGAGCCATTTAACTGACCTTCGGAAATGATTTCAAACTCATCTTTCTCAGTCTATAAGTCATATCTGAACAATAGGGGGTGCCACTGGAGTGGCTTTGGAGTGTTGACCTCCAACCCCTTCCTACAGAAACCAAAACCAAACTTGTTGCCATCGAGTTGATTCCTTTCAGTTTGCAGTCCATCTCTTAACCACTGCAACACCAGCGGTCCCCCTCCTACAGGCGGGTAGTGAAACTCCAGCAGCAAGAAAACGAATGGAATGGTCCTCCATCCCTTTACATGCGGCTTCATTTCCAAATGCCTTGTGTGTGATTTTGAAAGTAAGATATGCCAATTGAAACCATTTCAGAAAATACAGAAAAGCTTGTAGGTGAACAAGAACCTGGCCTATAGTGGCAGTACACTGGAGTACCCGGCGCTAACCCTCAGGTATGTATTCTTCCAGGCTGTTGTCTACGTAAGTATCCTCATACCAAAAGAGACCTAGATTTTATTTTTAATGAACTAGGATTCTGCTCTGTGTATTATCATGTAGGTGTCTTCTTCAGTTAGCACTACGTTGTGAGCTCATTTTGTCAATGAATATGGATATGCAGAATTCTTTTTAATGGCTGTGCATTTTCTATTCCCAGTGCCCACTTTCTAAAACTAATTCTTGAATGATGGATATTTAAATTATTCCCAGCTGTTTTCAATTTTAAACAGTGCTGTAATGAACTTTCTATTACTTCTCTGGACACTTGTCTGGAGTATTTTCTTTCTTATAAATTCCTAACCACAGAACTGTCGTGTTCAAGGGTGTACCCAGTAGAATTCTAGAAAACTAGGAGTAATGATGGAGAGCAGTGTTGGGAAGTTGAAACTCCCTCCTTTTCTTCCTACCCTGACAATCTAATGTCTGATGTATTCCTGTGTTTTGTTCTTTAATGGAGTTGATAAATCTTTTTAGGAGATTTTGTTCAGTAAATAAACCATCAGTGGTTGGTAGAATGTATGACCCATTGCCATCAAGTCCATTTCCACTCATAATGACTCTATAGGACAGAGCAGAACTGCCCCATAGGGTTTCCAAGGCTGTAACCTTTATGGGAGCAGATCACCAGGTCTTTCTCCCAGAGAGTGGCTGGTGGGTTTGAATTGCTATCCTTTTGGTTAGCAGCCAAGTGCTTAACCATTGCACCCCCAGGGCTCCTTAGAATGTATAATGCACTTAAACGTTAAAATCAATGTAAAAGTGGCAGAATCGCAGAATGTTAGCGTTAGAAGGGATCAGAGAGCTTTTCTGTGGTTCCTGGATACCAGTCTACAGACTAATGCTGTAGCAAAAAAGGAGAACAAGTGTAATACAGTGAGTTTTCCATAAAGCTGCAAGTATCCCATTGAAACCCATAGCGGTCATTCTGCTTTGAGAAAGTGGGTGCAAAACTCCAGGTTCTTGCAAGATAAAGTCGTTTGCTCCCTAAAGGCAAGGCACTTGGTTCTGTCCACTCTTCGTGTTTTACCATGCCCTGCGCAACATAAAAAGTAAAAAAAAATAGAAAATAAAA